CACACACACACACACACACACAGCCCTTCCAGCTTTCCTGTCATGCATGGCATAGTCTTCGCTTGGCCCTCGGAATAAAAGCAGCACCTTCTCCCCACCCCCACCCCCACACACTCTGTCCCAGGCCCCTCATTTTCTCTGCATGGAGGGCTGGGGCCTCCTCATCCTGTCATTCAGATGCACGTCAGACAGGGGTGGGGCACCTCATCCAAGAAGGCCCTCATGGTATCCTGTCACTTAATTTTCTTTCTGGACAATGTAATTTTACTTTTGCCAATCTTGGGGTTGAACTCAGGGCCTGAACACTACTACCCCTGAGCCTCTTTGTACTCAAGGCTAGTGCTCTACTACTTGAGCTACAATGACACTGGCTTTTTCTGAGTAGTTTATTGGAGATAAGAGTCTCATAGACTTTCCTTCCCAGGCTGGCTTCCAGCTGTGATCCTCAGATCTCAGCCCCCTAGTAGCTAGGATTATAGGCCTGAGTCACTAGCATCCAGCTTTCTGGCAAATTTATTATACTATGAAATGATCCATGACTTTATTTTCTGCCTAGCTTCTCACCAGGCCCCTCTGTGATCTAATGTGTGTTCTGCACACAGTAGGCATTTGTACAATGACAGTGCCCCCTGGTGGCTATATCTATGCACAACAGTTTTCCCTGTAACCTAAAACACAAAAGCTCAGGAAAAATGCCCAGGCCCTGAGTTCAAACCCCAGGATGGACAGACAGATGCACACAACCCATCTAGGGGGGTTGGAGGCATGACTCAATTGGTAGAGCATCAGTTAATGAGCAAAGCCTAAGGTACTGAGTCCAAGTCCCAGTCTCACAACAATAACAACAACAATAAAACTATCTGAAAAAATAACCTAAAGCAAAAGGACTAGAGAGGTGTGGTTCTAGTTGTAGAGCTCCTGCCTAGAATCTCAAGACACTGAATTCAATGTCCAGTACCATCAGAAGAAAATTTAAAAAGAATAGAGTCAGGTTGTGAAGGTGGCTTAGTAGTAGAGTGCTTGCCTAGCATGCATGAAGCCCTCAGTTCAATACCTCAATACCACATGAACAGAAAAAGCCAGAAGTGGTGCTGTGGTAAAGTACTAGCCTTGACCAAAAGAGGCTAAGGGATGGTGCCTAGGCTTTGAGTTCAAGCCCCAGGACTGTAGAAAAAAGAAAGAAAAAAGAATAGAGTCATAGAGATAAAGATACAGATTAAAAGGACAGGCAGAGAGATTTTTTTTTTTTTTGGTCAGTCGTGGGGCTTGAACTCTGGGCCTGGGTGCTGTCATTCAGCTCTTCAGTTCAAGTCTAGTGCTCTACCACTTGAGCCACAGTGACACTTCCAGTTTTCTGAGTGGTTTATTGGAGATGAGAGTCTCATGGACTTTCCTGCCAGAGCTGGCTTTGAACTGTGATCCTCAGATCTCAGCCTCCTTAGTAGCTAGGATTACAGGCGTGAGCCACAAGAGATTTTTTTTTAATTAAGTAAGCAGGTAGATAAGTGGATGAGTTAAGACCAACTTAATGAGTGAGTCATTGATTTTATGACAAGGTCACAGGCAGGCAAAGCTCATGGGGAATCAGTGGGACACTGACTGAAAATCCCAAAACGGGTGCTTTTTTTTACTTGAACTGGGCCTCATGCTCTCATTCAGCTTTCTCTGCCTACAGTTTATGCTCTACCAATTAAATCATATCTCAAATCTAGCTTTTTTTTTTTCC